CTTGGGAGAAAAGGGTTTATTTGGCTTACTTGCCCTGATCACAGTTCATTACTGAAGGAAGTCAGAACAGGAACTCCCTGAAGCAACCTGCAGGCAGGAGTTGAAGCACAGACCCAGACCATGGAGGAACGCTGCTTACTGACTTCCTTCCCTGGCTTGTGCTCAGCCTGCTTTCTTATATAACCCAGGACCACCTGCTCAGGGGCGGTACCACCCACAGTGAACCGGACCCTCCCACATCACAGCACTCCAGAAAATGTTCCACAGACATGGCCACAGGCCAGTCTGACAGAGGAGGTTTTTCAGTTGGGGTTCCCTCTTTCCAAATGTGTCAGGTTGACAACAGAAGCTATCCAGCATCTCCTTTTGGAATGCACCTCACTGTAGCATTTGGATGTACCAGGCTGGTAACTCTCTGATCTCCATTGTTTAGGATTTGTTATTTGTTGCTATAGGTTTCTTCAGGTAGGCATGATCCATTAGCATCTTAATCTTCTGTCTCTCCTTCTTCTCCTGAGGTGGAGAGGAAAGTTGGGAAAGAAAGTGCCAAGTATCTAATTATGGTTTGGTATTTCTGGCACTCAGGTCTCCTTTGGAAACTTGCTAAGAGTTACCTCATTAGGACAGAAACATCTGCTGGCACTCAGGAAATTTTAAATATTTTATTTTATATTTAAAATTTTATGTGTATGAGTGTATTGCCTGCATGTATACGAGTGCACCTGTATTGTGCAATGCCGCGGAGGTCAGAAGAGGGCTTCGGATTCCCCTGGGACTGGAGTTAAGGACGGTTCGTAGTCACCATGTGGGTGCTGGGAACTGAACCTGGGTCCTCTGCAAGAGCAATCAGTGCTCTTAACCGCTGAGCCATCTCTCCAGTCCCACTCAGGAAATTTTAACCTAAAGAATTTAGGAGATTTATGTTGGAAACTGGGGACAAGGGCCAAATATATATTTCTTATGCCATGGAAGCTTGTACTTTTTCCATGAAATTTCAAGGAAAATAGAATTGTCTTAATTTTGGAAATGGCAATTTGAGGATAGCATTGCTACTTGAAAACTGAAGAGGTGAATACACACACACTACACACACACACAGACACACCCCCCACACACGTACACACCACATCCCCCCACACTCACACCACCCCACACACACCATACACACACACCACACCATCCACACACCATCCACACACATACACACACACACCACACATACACCCCACACACACCACACCACCCACCCGCACACCATACACACACACCATCCACACACACCACACCATCCACACACCACACACATACACATACCACACATACACACCACACACACCATACCACACACCATACACACACCACACCTAACCCACACCCACACCACACACATACTACACCACCCCCCCACACCCCCGTGCTCTTAACCGCTGAGCCATCTCTCCAGTCCCACTCAGGAAATTTTAACCTAAAGAAATTAGGAGATTTATGTTGGAAACTGGGGACACACACACACCACACACACACTACACCACACACACACACTACACCACACCCACACCCACACACACACACACCACACACACTACACCACACCACACACACACCACACACCCACCCACACACCACACACCCACCCACACACCACACACACTACACCACACACACACTACACCACACACCCACCCACACACCACACACGCACTACACCACACCACACACACACACACACACACTATACCACACCACACACACAGAACACCACACACACACTATACCACACCACACACACACATACGCACTACACCACACCACACACACACACACACTATACCACACACACACTACACCACACACACACTATACCACACACGCACTACAGCATACCACACACCCACACACACACCCACACACACACCACACACCATCAAGAAACAGTTTTTAGAAGCCAATCTGTTTGGTTGCAGCTCTGTATTTATTCTCAGGTTGATTTACAGCCTGCGAGCCTGTGCCAAACATCTCTGCTAGCAGTCCTTCTGCCCATTTGTGATAGCATTCTAATTAATGTTCAGACAAGTGACCCCGAGTTAGTTATACACCAAAAGGCCTTCATAATTTGATCTTTTTTTCCTGAAGATTGATATTCAGCATCATTTAAAACTATTAATAAGTCTCATCCAGTGACTAAAATTAGAACATTTAATCATCTGGCTTAAATCAAGTATCTCTGCAGGACACTGGGGAGTTTGCTGTGTTTTCATGACCCAGTGAACTTTTCCCTCTGGTGTTTCCAAACTCTTTCTAGTTTTCCTTTTTTGCCTATATTCCCACTATTTAAAATTGAATTTGAGACATTGTTCTCTAACTGCAGCACCTGAGTAGGTTGTGGGGTGACGGATTTTGCCGACAGTGGAAGCAGGGTTACTTCCTGAGGGAAGGCCGTCCATGTCTGCTCTGTATTCAGGGTGCTTCTCTGAGAGAACAGTGTCAGAGTCCTCAGCCTCACCCTTGTTATCACAGGGGGACAACGAATCTGCGAGTGGCCAGTGCAATGGTTGCCGCCAAAGCTAAAGTAAGTGGAGCTACAATTCTAATTTCCGTGTCCATCTCACTAGTATGCACCCCCTGGTGTATGTATTCAGCAGTGCTGAAAGACTAAAGAATGTCACTGTACTTTGATTTTGCAAATGTAGTTTTTCAATAAGTTTTTATTATGAGTTGATAAATGTTCATTGCAAAAATTAGGAAAACAAATGAAAATAATAAGATAAAAATTAGTAATTCTACAATTAGGGATAAATGTAAATTACAGTTTTTATTTCTTATTTTTATATAATTGAAGTCCTTACTGTACATAGATTTTCAGTTCCTCATTTCCTTCAGTGAGTATATCACTAATACTTTCCTATCCTAATAAAAAATCCCCAACTAATATCTGGTTTTAATGACTAATAGTCACTTGCACAATCGTGACATTATTTCCTTAACTATTCAATTGTCAATTCTATTTCAATACAAAACTAATGTTGTGAGGAATATAGTGCACAGAGCCCCATATTTAGCACAATAATAGTAAGTTAGCAGGGGCTGTGGAGATGGTTCAGTTGGTAGCGTGCTTGTCATGCAAACATAAGGACCTGAGTTCAGATCCCTAGCACATATGTAAAGCCAGGTGTGGCAGTGTGTGCCTGTAATCCTAGTGCTGGAGAGACAGAGACAAGGGAGCCCTGGGACTTGATGGCTGGTCTGTGTGGTTAAGGATAAGCTCCAGGGTCAATGAGAAGGACCCTGCCTCAGAAAAATAAGGTGGAGAAGTGATGAGAAGAAAACGCACCTGGACCTCTGACTTCCACCTACACATGCACACATATATATCACCCTTACTCATGTACATAGAAACGTGTACACACAGAGAGATTTAAACAGCATTAAGCTGTTTGTTTCAGTGTACAGTTTTAGTACCCAATTATAGGATAGCAGATAGGAACACATGGTTGTAAGTAGAGGTAAATTTGAGGGGGTTCAGTCATACTAAGATTAGTGTGTAAGTGCACCAGTAGTATATGAGTTGTGTAGGAAGGATGCAAAGGCAGGGCTTAGGCAGCTGTAGAGAGTCAGGGCATCATAAGTGGGGATATCCATGGGTAGAGATATGAAAGGGACAGAACACAGGAAGTAACTGTTAGAGTACAGCTCAACCATAGTGGGAGGGTGTGCTGAGAAACTGAAGGGAATGAAACACAGGATACAGCTTGGAATTGTGTCAGGAGGATCAGTGTGTCAACCAGAAGCTCTAAAGTTTTGGACTGTTGCATTGTTGTCTCTGGGTTTGGGAGAAATTGGTTCTAGGATCCTCTCATGTAAAAATGTTTGAATGCTCAAATTCTTCATATAAAATGGTTTACTGTTCACATATAATCCATGGATACTCTGCTATGCTCTTAAGCCATTATGATACCTAATACAATGTAAATGCTATGCAATTACATTTATGATTTTTGTTACATGGTATTGTTTAGGAAATAATGGGGGAAAGTCTGTACATGTTCATCACAGATGCAAGTTTTTTTCTAGTGGTTTTAATTTCGAATTGGTTTAATGTATGCACACAGAAGTGGAAACTGTAGTCACGAAAAGCCTACTGTACTTTGAACTATTCAGTCATCGTTTTTATTTAGTATACTTTGTGTTCAAAACCTCCATGGTAGTCCAAGAAAATGTGGTGGAAGCCACAAAAAGCTTCTCCTTCATTGGAGATGATGACATTGAACTAACGTTTGGTGGTATATTGTATTGTCTTTTTAATTATGTTCATATTATAAGGCTGTGAAACTTTGTTATTTTGAAGAAATATGCACATGGTAGCAATTGGGAATCATTGGAAGTGCAGAGTCAGATAGAGACACTACCTAAATGATACAAATATTTGAAAAATTGTTTTCCATAAAGATTAGAGCAGGCTAAAGGCAAGGCAGCAGGTCCATTAAAGGGTATGTGATTGGAGGCAGAGACTGCATAGTGGGTTGGAGGAGAGGAAGGCTTACATTTAAATGGATGGTTTAATTTAGTAGTTCTAATCACACAGCAGATTCTTTTCAAAACATAGAAACCTTTGTGCTACCCCAAATATGCAGAAGCAGAACTCGGGGTGAATGAGACCAGGTACTTACATAGCTAAGTGCCCTCAGTGATTCTGATATGTGTCTCTGGTTAGGAGCCACTAAATGAAGCACTGTGTGTTTTTTTCCACTTCAAGAAGTGTCAGATTGTCTACAACTCCTGTTCTGAGCCTTTCTGTCCCTACCATGTGCCTATATGCATCTTTCTTCTTCACACTTCTCTCATACTATTTCAAATTCTGAGAATTTTTCTATTACTTGGAGCCAATTTGTATTACAAACTCTCCAATTAGTGCTACTCTGCAAGATCAATTTCGTGTCAAATAAAATGTGCTGCAAAAGTTAAAAGAAATTTCTATAACTTTTTTTCCCATTAAATGATAGGTACAAAAGCCAAGATGGATATTCAGACTTGGTATTTGAAAACATCAAAGCTGGCTCTGGCCTTGGCAATTATCCACTCAAAACCAGTCGGCAGGAGCAGCAGAGAATATGCTGAGCACCTTGCCTCCCTCATGTCTCAGCAAGAGTCCAAATGGAGATCCAAAGTTGAAGTCTTAGAAGCAGAAGTTCTGCATTTACAGCAAAAACTTTTTCTGAGCAGGACATGCTGGGAATTATATAAGAATGGTGAGTATGTAAATCAGTTTTCAGTAATATTATTATACTTTATTATTATTATTACCATCATTAGGTAGAGGGTTATTGTCAAAACTTGAGATTGGTGAGTTTCCTTGAAAACTAGATAAATTCTTGCCCTAGAAAGATTTTTCTTTTACATGTAGATAATCAGTTACAAGTTTATTATCGCTTTCCAATGAATGGGGGTCACATTGGACTTGGGGTTAAATTAATGGGATGAAATATCTAGACATGAAGACAATTGTTTATCATTATCATTGCTTATTGTTGTTTATTATTTTTATTTTATGTGTATGATTTGTATGATTGTATTGCCTCCATGTATGTACATGCACCATGTAGTGCAATGTCTGCAGAGGTCAAAAGAGGGCATTGGATCCCCAGGAACTGGAGTTACAGAAGGTTCTTAGCCTTGTGGGTGCTGGGAATCAATCCAGGGTCTCTGCAAGAGCAGCCAGTGCCCTTAACCACTGAGCCATCTCTCCAGCCCATATTGTTATTATTGTTGTGGTGTTGACTCATTATTTATTCCAGCAGTCCTTGTGGATCATGTGTTTGGTTGCTGCTTTATCTTCTGACCTAGAGTCTGCCTTCACTGAGGAGGATCTTTACTGTTCCCAGCCTAAATCCTGACACATTAGAAGGTGCTCAATAAATATTTGGTGAGTGGATGTGGAACACAGAGGGCATTTTTACATAGCAGTCACTGGAGACAGGGTGACCAGTGTTACAGACTTTCACCAAAGCCCATGCTATCATTTGAATGTTTCCACCAGAACTCCTGATAAAATTTAATCCTTAGTATGAGATATTAAGAGATGGGACCAGTTAGAACCTATCAGAGGTGACCACACTAATGATTTAATGGGTTGTCTTTGGAGTCTGTTATTAAAGGCCAGTTTGACATTTTCTGTGTTCTGAACCCCTCTTACCTATGATCCTCTATTCTGCCACAGAAGTCTGGACTATGCAGAGAGTCCCCACCATGAAGACTGTTATCATATGTGGGCCCTATGCTGTGGAATTTTAGAACTGTCAGTTGAATAAACCTGAATTCTTTACAAATGACCAGTCTATAGCTATAGTAAGAGAAAAACAGACTAAGATGACTCATATGAAGTCCTGGACTAGGTTTACAAAATAAGAACATAAATGAGAGATATCTTTGAGTGATTTCCCATTTGTGAATGAGTTCAGATGGTAGTTAAAGGAGATGGAAGTATGTAGGAAAATCGAGGCTTCCAGTCTAGTTTAAATAGATTGTGATAACTTGGGTTCCAGTTAGTGAACATAGAAAGCTTATAGGATAAAATGTTGATTCCGGGCTTGTCTGAGTAGAGGCTAATGTAGGAATTACATGGAAGGGAGATAGAGGAATGATCACAAACCTTAGAGGAGACAAGAAGGCTGGACTATGTACACACACTTATAATTTTTTAGCTTTTTAAGTAATAGTTGAAATTATATATAAGAATCACAGAGAGAACTAAGCTGTGAATATGGGGGAGGGAGGCTTGTTAGTCCAGCATTCCAAATATGAGCAGAGGAAGTAGAGGTATCATTGTGTGGGTTCATGCCAGTTTGGTGTGCATATGCACTCAGTTGAAGGAATTATGTGGAAGACATGGTGCCTTGATATCTAAATGTTACTAAAATCTAATTGCAATCTAATAAAACATAGTGCTATGTAATTTATAGCCACATTTTTTTGTCTATAGAGTCCTTGATAATGGACTGTTTGAGTATACCCAGTGAACAACTGACAAACATAATCAGTTTTTCTTCATTTATTTCTGCAAAGTTATAAGGTTACTGTTATGAAAAAAATACAAAATTCCGAACAATCCTTAACTATGACTATTACAAGCTTCTGTGATAAGTATATGCTTGTTTGCCCTCAGGGTCTATATGCAGCCCTGACATAGTATGCGTACTTCTTTGTAACAGGAATGTGTGTAAACAGTAAGGACCTGAGTGATTACTGGCTTTTACAACGAATACCTTCACTTACAGTTCCTGGGAGAGAAATTTGCAAAAATCATATAATTAAAATCAATTTGACTCATAGCAGAAGTTGTAGGTAAAGTGTTTGACTTCAGATGTTTGGGAGTAATCTGTCTTTTTAATCGTTAGCTTAAGCATAAAAATGGGGAGGAAGTAAGTGGGAGATTCAGAAAAATGAAGAAGCTGTTAAAGGGGAAACAGCAGTGCAAGGGGGCGTTAGAGTGATAGGGGAGTGAGGGAACCAGTAGTTCCCTAAAACTAGGTAACTAGACAGCCTGACGTACCTTGTTGCACAAAACCATAGATGCCTTTATATATTAAACATTTCTTTTTGGAATTTTCAGCTTCTTTATACTTGGAACTGCTTATGAGTGCTCATTGGCTTTCAGTAAATGCTGAGTGGCATGCTCCTTGACAGATTGAGAGGCCGGGGAACTTAACTTACAGCATCAACTGTCCATTGACACAACAGAATAATTCAGAGTTAAATAAAGCAGAGCTGAACTGGTTTATACAACGTATTAGGAACCCAGCGATGTCTTTATTCTGATTTATCTCTATAACTTCTTAATGAGCAGTTTCTTATTATATTTGTTAAGGAACTGGACTGTACAGATAAAGGGTAACCAGAATTTGATTCTAAGATTACACCATATTTTAATTTTACTTATTGCTAACTGTTTAAAGAAGGAAGGAGGGAAGCGAAGAAGGAACAAGTGCTGGAGTGAAGAATTCTGCTTCCATACTGTGGCATATTACTCAAGCTTTTTTAAAAAATGTGTCCGTAAG